CCATAGTATCTTGTTCTTATTTTCCCCTGTTGCATGGATGGATGACTAAAATGCTTTTTGTTCCGGGGAGGGAATGGGAGCATGTCCCCTTCTAACAGAATGGCAAGGTCATTTCCACAAGCATGCTTGACCTGGAGAATCTAGCCCAATTTACTCATCAATGGAAATGTCTCTGCAAGAGAGAAATACACATTTCTCTCATCCCATTTATATTCAGTATGGCTGATATTTTAAGCTAAAAATCTGTGACAAACAAATTGCAAGAAACCCACTTATGGGGCTGGGATTTTGGCTCAGAGGTAGAGTGCTCGCCTACCATCCATGAGGAACTGGGTTTGATCCTCAACACCACATAAATAAAATAAAGATATTGTGTCCACTTATAACTAAAAAAAAAGAAAGAAAGAAAGAAAAAGAAACCCACTTATCACCTTGGGCACATGAAATGGACTGCTGCAGGACCCAGCAGGTGTAGGTCAGGGCTGAAGGTCAAAGCTGTGCTCATAGTGTGGGTGGCACTATGCTCATCTTATAGAGGGCACTGCTAGTTGGGCTCGCCCTGTCTAGCTGTGACAGCTCAGGAAGTGGAATGCACAATTCTGGAACTGGCAAAAAGGTCGCAGGGACCGGCTAGGTCTCAGAGACCGTGGACTTTTCCATCCCTCAGGAATGAAGGGTTCTTCCATCTGGGAGGATATGTGCCCAGATGACATGGCTTCAGGGATGGAGCCTTATGGTGTCTACCTGTATAGAGATTTTTTTTTCAGCAATTGACCAAAATGTCACTTCTAAAAGTCAATATTTATTTAGTGTGTGATAAAAAAGTGTACAAAAGTGAACCGGAGTTGGCAGTACATGTAGATTGAGATTCTTGGAGTTACTATTATTATTTTTTTGAACCCAAGGTTGTTTATCCACTGAGCCACATCCCCAGTCGGTTTTTTGTTTTTTGTTTTTTGGTTTCATTTTGAAATAGGATCTCGCTAAGTACTTAGGACTTTGCTAAATTGCTGAGGTTTGTCTTGAACTTGCAATTCTCCTTCTTCAGCCTCCTGAATCATTGGGATTATAGTTGTTTGGCACTAAACCCAGCTAATTTTCTTCTTTTTTTTTAAAGCTGGGGATGGAACCCAGGGCCTAAAACATGCTAGATCAGTGCTCCATTACTGAGCTGCACCCCCAGTTCTATCATCCAAAATGTTAAAACTAAATTGTCTTATTGACCTTTTAAGCTAAGAGACCTTAACTGAATAGATCTTTTTTATACCCTGTTAAGAAAGTGCTCAGGGCTGGGGTTGTGGCTCAGAGGTAGAGGGCTCACCTAGCACGCTTGAAGCCCTGGGTTCGAGCCTCAGCACCACATGAAAATATATAAAATAAAGGTATTGTGTCCAACTACAACTAAAAAAGAAAAAAAAATTTTAAAAAGGAAGTGTTTATTTCTCCTGATGGAAAAAAATTATTTTCAGGTATGGAGTTATGTAAACTGGTTGACTTTTTTTTTTTAACCAATATTTGGTATTTTTAAATTTTACATGTTAAAGTAAATGATATATATTGTGTTATATATTCTAATATATAAATTACATATTGTATAGTAATATGTAGTTGCATATATTAAAATTGTACACGATGAGTGATAGGCGTTTTTAATTTATGATAAAATATCTATTGAGTCTCTTTGAAAAATAGTTACTTGTATCATTGACAGCTCCAGGACCCTAGATCCTTGGGGAGCTAAGGTGAAATTATAAGAGTTTACAAACAGCAAACTGCAAAGCAGAATCTTATGTACAGACTAGTCTCATCTCAGTGAGATTTCCTTCAGTAAAATTTAACTGAAGACGTTTAAAAAACAAAAAGCTCATTCATGCTAGGTGCAGTGGCACATTCCTATAATCCCAGCTACTCAGGAGGCTGAGGCAGGAGGAGCATAAGTTCAAGGCAAGCCTAGGCTTCTTAGCAAGACTGTTTTAAAAGAATAAAAAGGGCTGGGGATGTAGCTCAGTGGTAAAGCACCCCTGGATTGAATCCCCAGTATCAAAAAGATAGAGAGATATAGATAGATAGATAGATAGATAGATAGATAGATAGATAGATAGACAGACAGGAAAAAAAAAAGCTCATTAATTTGGTCAGCAAATATTTCATGGATACCCAATCAGTAAGGGCTCTTTCCATCACAAGTGACAGAAAATCAAGTCTATATTAGTTAAAGCAAAAAAGAGGCCCTTGTCATTGAAAATTTCAATACTTATAATATGAAGGAAGTACTGTTAATTTTTTGAAAGGCCCAAATCGGCCCAGCATAGCTAATAAGCCCTGTTCCTGACTCTTAGGACCAAGTCAGCTCCTCAGCCCTGGCCAGCAGCTGCAGAAAGATGACTGTTGGTGTGAAAAAGAACAGCAAACATCTCCTCTCTGTGTCAGGTTCTATAACTAGAGATATAAAAATGGAAAGGGTCCCATTTCTTCTCATCAGGAAGCTTCCCAATCACCAAAAAATTACTTGAATTTCCATCATAAATTCTCTTTTTACCTGCCCTTAAACTTTATCCAACCAACTAGATCATCTTTTAAAAATAGTCTATACCTCTCATCCTGAATATCATATACTGGTCATGAAGCCACATACTGATTTTACCCCGTATGACTATTCTGAGGCTCAGGACTATACTGAGGCCCAGCAAGGCAGGACCTGACTACTCAGATGCTGTTCTCAATGCTTTATATGCAGACCTCTGTGAACCCTTGTGGCAACTCTGTGAGGTTGCTACTGTAAAATGTGCCCCATTTTACAGACCAGGATACTAAGGAGCACCACATAAAAATAATAAAAAAAAAGTACTATGTCTAACTACAACTAAAAAATAAAATATTTTTAAAAATTAATTAATTATTTAAAAAATTCTGGGGATGTGGCTCAGTGGTTAAGCACCCCTGGGTTCAATCCCTGGGTCCAAAAAACAAAAACAAACAAACAAACAAAAATCGACACTTAACACCCTCTGCCATCTCCTCATACAGGTCCTCCTGCTCAACTCCCTTAGGGGTCCCGTTGGTCCAGGGCAAAGGAGGAAAACATGAATAAGTTCCCAGATTGCTTTCTGACAGCTATTGGAGGGCAATTATTAGCTCCTAGGATGTTATGCAAAACATTCCTATGTGGGTCAGTCGCCAATCAGAGTGGGATTTTTGTTTTCCCAAAGTTCCTTCTCTGTCTAGCGGGCTTGCAGAAACACTGGTAGCTTTGGAATCATACAGTGCTCGGTTCAAATTAGGCTGAGGACTCACTGTATGCTCTTTGGATGAGTCAACCTTCTACTTCTTACTAGAACCTTTCTTTTCTTCTCTGTGAAAGAATTAATAACAGTATCTACCTCATGGGATTAGAGAGGGGATTAAATGAGATGAAACTTGAAAGCGTTCAGTCTGGTTCATTTGGAAATGGAACTCTTGACAAATATGAAGCAAAGATATTTTCTTTCTGTGGTAGAGGCTACTGAAGCTGGGGCTTGGCAAACACGGAGGAATATTGTCAAGGAAGTAAGTACAAGAGAGGGATCCTGGAGAAGCCGCTGCCAAGGGAGGGGTTCTCTAGTCAGTAGCAATGAGGCAGAGCCTTCCCCAGCCTGCATCCTTAGCACCAGGACATGCTGCCCACCAGGAGTTCAGAGTGTATGTGCCGTGCTGTACACTTATTGATATACTTGACCCTAGAGCTGGTCTGTGTTCGAGTCCCAGTTCTACCACTTATCAGCTATGGGGCTCTGGGCAAGCTTCTTGACCTCTCTGTACTTTGATTGACTCATCAATAAAAGGGAATAAAGCCAGTATTTCTATAGAGCCCAAAGTGAGCCCTTGGAACAGGACCTGGCATACTAGTAGTAGGCAGCAGTTATTATTACCAAGTTCTTGAACAGGTCACAGAATGAGATACAAGGCCAGTCCCTGTGGGAATTGACAGCAATAGAAGGGGGAGATTTAAAACGATCATAATTTAGTTACAAATGAGGTACATGCTTTGAGGGAGTGTTTTGATGGGGACAAGGTCTTAATGAAGTTTGTCCCTTCTTATGTGGGGAAGAGATCTGGGGGACTGTAGGGAGATGTGTCTTTTTTTCTCAGGGATTACCAGTAAGGACAGACTTTTCTAGGTTAAGGGGAGCTCCCAGAAAAGGACGGAAAGTGGAGGAACTTTGAACAGAAAGACCTGGAAATAAGATGCAACTTGGCAGGAAGGGCCTATTCCTCCAGCACCCTTCCTCAGCAGGAATGAGTGCCAACCATTTTTGTCCTTGCTGAAGATTCCAATTCCAGAGTGAGGGCATCAGACTCCAGAGGGGAGGGCATTTTGATGGCCATCTCCTAAGACAGACTCTAGAGGCAGGATTGTTCTCCCAGTGGACACCACACAGGCCAATAACAGCATCTCCTCTGAAGGGACAGTTAGGCCAAATGTTCTTAAATACATAAAACACACAGGATTATGTAGGAAACCAAACAATGAAATGTTAGGAAGGAACAAATAGGTGACATAACACATGTGCTTTTGTGTTAACTCATTAAATCACAGGGTCTAGAAGGTGGCCTGGTAACTATGCTATCATGAAGTATTGTAAGATGAATGTAAACAATATTTTGAAAAATCTGCAGCAATTTGATGTGTTATGAAAATATCTGGGATTGCTACTAGAGAGAAAGTCACAGGTATATCTAAAACCACTGTGGCTGCTTGCCTCAGCTCATAACTGAAGGGGATGCTAAGTTTCGGTAAGGGAATAGAAAAGTAAAAATTATTTATGTTGAGAATCTTGCCTTAGGCATTTTGTAAAAACTTGTCAATGTACAAGGTTATGGGAAAACAAACAGAAAACCCCTCTCACCTTACAAACCGTGCATTTCCAGTTGATCCTATCCCCCCCCCCCAAACAAAACAAAACAAAACACTGTGAGTACATTAAGTACACCTAAAAAAGTGTATGAAATCTATTTCATACCTTAAAGAAAAGAGCAGTGTATGGAGGAATCCAGGCTCAATGCCAGTAGGCCAGGGCTTCCCATTGCCCCTCCTGGTGGCAGGAGCAGCCTGGTCTGGCATCAGCCCGCAGGGCCTCAGTACCCACTCCCGGAAAAGGTCGACTTTTCAGGTCCAGTCACATGCACAGGTTGGTAGTGGACTAATGTGCTGTGAGCCTTCGTTTCATCTATGCAGCTAGATCTCCAGACTCCGGCCCGGAGGCTCTCCTTATTTCTCATAGGCCTTATTGTGAGCGGTACTTTTCAGTTTACCAACCACGAAGTGCTGAGAGCAGAAGCACCTGGAGCAAAAGACGACATACCAAAACTTGACACCACCTGAAGGGGACATGCTTTGACTGTGCGTGGGCGGGGTAGTTCAGGACCTGTGGGCAGAATCCAGGAAACCTAGCGTTTCTCCTCATTAAAACCTCCCAGGACAAGGAGAGGTGGCGTGGGATTGTTTGGGCTGATTAGAGCTCACCTTAGCCCCTGCCATCTATCAATTGATTATAAAGAAGGGAAGGATGTACGTCTTCTCCACAATCTTCCACCTGGGTAGGTCTGCTGGCCACGGTATGTTTGGGAGTCCAACAAGCCTGGGGCTTCACAGTGGGGCGCTGGGAATGATTGAATGGAGGGAGATTCCCAGGTTTCAGGGAGAGAAGGGAAATGAGCGAGAACACTTGCAGTCTCAACTGGAGCAGAGTATGAACTAAAAACTGAAAACCAGCTCCTCCCGACCGCGGCAGGACTCGAACCTGCAATCTTCTGATCCGAAGTCAGACGCCTTATCCATTAGGCCACGCGGCCGTTAGCAGCAAAGAATGCTCTGCACAACATACAGTGTCATAAGCCCACTGGTTAGCTGAGACCAACCCACCTGTTTCCTGGAGGGGGGTTGAACCTCGGTTCCCAGCGTTCCGCAGGGAGGACCCGCCCGGAAGTGCCCTTCTCCCCCCGCGGGCGGACCGCTCCATTGGCGGTCTTCCTATTGGTCGCGCTGGGAGTCTCCCGCCTGCTTCTCAGGCGGCCCCGGGACCTAGCGGGGCGCAGACGGGAAGTTGCGGCTGCCAGCGAGGCGGACTGGTCGTCGGAGGCCACACACTACCTGGCGCTGCGCAGGCCGCGCGGAGGGGACCCCGTGTCGTCAGCCTAGGGTCGAGGCAGGCCGACCGGGAAGCACCGGGCCGAGGTTTCCGGCGGGTTTGGCGCGGGCAGGCCGGTCGCCGAGGGGCGGTGCAGCCCCCTTCTCCAGGAGGGGAGCTTGCCGGGGCAGGGCGGCGGCTAGTCCCAGGGCGCACCGCGCGCCTCCGGGGCTGCCCCGTCGCCCCCTGCAGGGCGCCCTCGGCCGGGTCGTGGGTGGGGCCGGGGGGGGGGGGACCGCGGCCTCCCAGCGGGTTCGAACCCAGGCGCCGGATTCCCAGTGCGGGGCCCGGGCCGCGGCGCTCGCGACAATGGCAGCTACCATCTGCCGACTGCTTGCAGAGGGCAGGGCTGAGCGATGTGTGCGCCCTCCATCACCCCAACAGCAGTCTTCTGTGGCAGGTAGACCCTAACCCCATTCTACAGAGTAGGAAATTGGGACCTAAAGCGCTTGCCCAAGGTCACACAGCTCGCGATAGCCGGAACCGGGGTTCGAGCCTGCGTGGTGCAGCTTCAGAATCTGCACTCTTAACCTGTGCCGCAGCTTCCCCAAGCTTACTGATGAAGCTCTAAGGACCTCTGTTTCCTCAAGAGGGGTATTGCCATTTCCGAAGGTTGTTTGAGACTTAACAGAAAACATACCTAAATTATCTGGCATAGTGCCTTGGACGCAGTAAATATCCAAGGAACGACGATTATTAATACAACACATAATGTATATGTAACAAATAACACTTTATATCATCTATCTCCTTTAGGATTTGTGGGAGGAAGGCAGGCATGGTCAGACCCATTTCACTGACAGGAAAACAGAGACAGGACGTGTCTCTCTCCAAGTTTTTCACCCAGTAAAAGCAGCCAAACTGGAGGCCAAAGCCAGGTGTCCTGATTCCCAGCGGGGGGCTCCCTGCACCAACCATGAGCCGCCTGCTCTGGAAGAAGGTAGCCGGCGCCACCGTCGGGCCAGGGCTGGTTCCAGCAACGGGCCGCTGGGTCTCCAGCTCCGTCCTCGACCCCTTCCCCAGCGACGGGCAGCTGCGGCCTCAGCAGCCGCAAGTGCCATCCTTGGAGGGCGGGCAGCTGCGGCACAACCCATTGCACATCCAGATGCTCTCGAGAGGGCTTCACGAGCAAATCTTCGGGCACGGAGGGGAGATGCCCGACGAGGCCGCGGTGCGCCGCAGCGTCGAGCATCTGCAGAAGCACGGGCTCTGGGGGCAGCCGGCCGCGCCCATGCCAGACGTGGAGTTGCGCCTGCCGCCGCTCTACGGGGGCAGCCTGGACCAGCACTTCCGCCTCCTGGCCCAGAAGCAGAGCCTGCCTTACCTGGAGGCGGCCAACTCCCTGTTGCAGGCCCAGCTGCCCCCCCAGCCCCCGAGCTGGGCCTGGGAGGAGGGCTGGACCCGGTACGGCCCCGAGGGGGAGGCCGTACCCGTGGCCATCCCCGAGGAGCGGGCCCTGGTGTTCGACGTGGAGGTCTGCTTGGCAGAGGGAACTTGCCCCACATTGGCGGTGGCCATATCCCCCTCGGCCTGGTAAGTGGGGGCCAGGGCCAGGGCACTTTAGCACACATAGGGGGCCCAGCTTAATGGTTCAGTGGACACTGTTATTGAGCTCTAGCTATGTGCTAGCACTGCTGGTGTGCTTTAACCCTTGCTTCATGGGGCTCACTTTCTGGTGGGAAGATAAAAGTGGGAAACACCTGGGCAAACAAACGTCAGGTGGTAATAGAGCCATTCAGAGAATTACATGGACTGTTCTACTTGAGACTTACGGGAAATCACTCGAGATCACCGTGATTGGTTGCCTGTACCCTTCCCCTACTAGCTTCATAAGTTAGTCTGAAAGACATTGAAAGGTGTTTCTGTTTGGTTAATTTTGGGCAGGAGAAATTTCCCTTTTGTGGGATTGTCCCAGGCAGTATAAGACATTCAGCATCACCAGCCTCTGCCATAAACTTCAAACAAATCCCAGCATTTCCAAGTACCCCCTCTAGGTGGCATGCCCTTGGCCATCCCAGCTAAGAAACATTGCTTCCTTTCCCCCAGCCTCCCAAGCAGGCATTTTGATCCCAAACAGGTATATCCAATCTCTCTCTTTTCTTTTTAAATAACTTTCTAAGTGCTACCCAAGTTTCTTTTTCAAACAATGATGGCAGTACTGTTTCTCCCCTTTTTTATTCTTCATTCCAGGATTAAAATACTATTTACAACCTTAATGCTTTCAGGCATGGCCAGCAAAAAAAGTTGGCAGTTTCTTTATTCCTATTGGAAGCTACATCTTTGTAAAGAAAGCTGCGAAATGTTATATATGCAGTTGAAAATGGTGAAAGCATGGCTAAATAGATAAGGTAGGCATTAATGGCTGAAAAGAGCAAAACTAGATGATTTCACATTGATTTAGTTCTAGTTTTAATAAGAATCACAGTGCTTATTATGTAACTTGATGGTCAAAGTGAAGGGGAATACCAGCCATCATTAGAAAAGATGAAATAGGCTTTGGTGGCTGAAAAAAAAATTAGGAAACCAGAGACAAGAAGGATTTATTTTTTTGATCTGTTGGTCATTTTTGGCCAGTTAAAGTCCTTTTTTCTTTTTCCTCTCCTCTTTCTCTTTTCCTCTCCTTTCTCTTTCTGTCCTTCCCATTCTGCCCTCATACTCATTCCATTCTTGCCAGTGATGCTGGGGGCATTGCTTAGTTTGCCCAACAGCAGAAGTCATTGCTGAGGCCTGAGCATAGACTGGGACCTTCTTTCTAGTAGTCTGTGATGGGTGTGGGGAGGTGCCAGATGGTGTCCCTATAGCAGTCCACTTTTAACCTGGCACTCCCTGCCACATGGCTGTGACATTAGGTACCTAACCAGCCCATGGTTTCCAGGGGATAGAGGAAAGCCTTGGACAGCTCTGAGCCTTCTCAGGGCAGGTTCCTAAAGGCTCTTGGTAAGGGCTTTGGTCATCAGGCTAAAGAGACATCACTCAGGTCCTTGGCATTTATTTGAGAGTTACATGAAGACTGTAGTATTAATGACATGGATTCCAACTCATCTTAAATTTATCTAAGGTATTTCATTTCAGCTTTCTTTTTTTTTTAAATCATAAATAAGTTGTTAAATCATAAATAAGATGGTTCCATGCATAGCTGCAGACCTGTGTGTTAACACCAATATGACTTTTTATTGTAACTAAAGCTTTTATCATCATAGCCTCAAATATTTGGTATTTAGCCTTTCTTCAGTGTTGTTTTTAAGGGCTTTGACATGCTGAATTTAAAAGGGAGAGGGTTGTAGTTTGAGTCCCTTGGAATATTCCCACAATTTGGAGGCTGAGTTAAATTTTGTTGTATTTAAAACTAGAAATCTCTTTTTGAAATAAACTAGTTTTATGTAGTTTGAAACTATTGAGGCAAATCACCCTTCTTCCTTTCCAAAAAGGTTGCAGGACACTCGTTTGTAATGTTTTGCGGTTGATGTCCACACATGTGGCCTCATCATTCTGATGCCAAGTGGGACTCAACCCTTTGGAGCATCCGTGGCTTCCAACAGGCCTTTTTCAGTGGCCTTTGCCTACACTTAGCCTTTTGAATCTTGAGCAGACTGCAGTCTTCTCCTGAGTCAGTGTCAGGCCCCCACAGGCAGCACTCATCCCGTCTCTTCCACCCCCACCCTAGCACATGTACATACATTTTCTCATTCTGGCACTTTCCCTGGTCTCTCACTGAGGGTGGTTGCTTCTATAGGGTGCATGATTTGCTCTTTGTCCTTCAGAATCTTTGCAGCCGTCAGATGACTCATCCTGTACATGTGTGCAGCATTTGTCTTTTTTTTGCCACTGTCAATTAAAACAAAAAATCTTCACTTTGGGTTCTATTGTAATCACCTATATCTTTTGCTAGCACTTTGAACACAGTTTTGTGTTTAAAGGAGGTTTGTCACATTTGTAAAAGACCTCAGAGCCGCATGCAGATTCTGAATACTAGGTCTTGCAAGGGCCTCAATGGCCTAGGCCAAGCACCTGCATGTGGCACCCCGTATTGTAGCACTTAGCTCCGTTTTCATCTGAGAGTTTGAAGAAGCTTTGTATTTCCTCTCCACAGTGTACACACGCACCCTGCCCCACTTGACCTGAGGGTGAGGAGCACCCCTTGGTCTCACTTGTATCCCCAGCCACTAGAGCAGGACCTGGCATGTGGTGGTGGATATGCAGTGGGTGATATAGAGTAGAAGTTTAATGTCTCCGTGTACCTCTCACCTGTATACCTCTCACCTCCCTCAGGTATTCTTGGTGCAGCCGGCGGCTGGTGGAAGAGCGTTACTCTTGGACCAACCAGCTGTCGCCGGCTGACCTCATTCCCCTGGAGGTCCCTGCCAGTGCCAGCAGCTCCACCCAGCGGAATTGGCAGGAGCAGTTAGTGGTGGGACACAATGTTTCCTTTGATAGAGCCCATATCAGGGAGCAGTACCTGATTCAGGTAAGGTTCCTGTGAATTGCAGGTTCTGATACTGGATAGGCTAAGAGCCCTGATCTCGGTGGCTAAGGAAAAGATTGCTTTCCTGATCACACTCTCCATCCCCAGAACAAGTCTGGTTCAGAACCTGAGTGTCACAAAGTAATAATGGCCCTTATCTCTGTGTGGTGTTTTATAGCTTAGTAGGGGCCTTTGGAAGCTCTGAGCCACAGCCTATTCTTATTCTGCCTCAGCCACTAATGAGCAGTGAATATCTCTAAGCCTTAGTTTTCCTTTTTTTGTATAAAGAGAACTAATAGATGTGATGGTGCACACCTGTAATCCCAGTGACTTGGGAGGCTGAGGCAGGAGGATCACAAGTTCTAGTTCAGCCTAGCAACTTAGTGAGACCCTGTCTCAAAATCAAAAGGGCTAGGGGTGTGGCTTAGTGGTAGAGCACCCCTGCATTCATTCCTCAGTATGTACACGCATTTGCGTGTTCATGCATGTATACACACACAAAGAAAGAAAATGAAAGTGCACCAACAGAAGAAACTCCCTCATGGGATATTTTTGGGAGAATTTGAACACACATACATGTCAAACATTCAGAACTGTGTCTGGCATGTGGCGATGACATTTCTTAATTTTATGAAAATTGTTTTTTCACTATGCCTTCACAGTAGCCCTAGGAGAAAGAAGAAAGGCAGGGCAGGGGAGAGTACTATTATCGTAGAGCTAAGGATGCTGAGGCTCAGACAGCCTTGTTGAGCATCTGTGCTCAGGGCCACAGAGCTTTGAGGGGCTGGGACTGGGGTCAGACTGGTAGCTCCGAAGGTCTTGTTTTGACCATTCTGTATCCAAGTTGCTCAGAGTGGTTGCTGGAAACCAAGAAATACTTGCATGTTGGGATCAAGCCAGGCCTGATGCTTCAAGGATGGCTAGGATTTGGGAGGCAGGCCCTTCAGGTCAAAAGCAAGCATAAAGATTTTGTGTCTCACATGTTGGAGACTGTTCTACAAAGGGAGACTGAAGAGCTGAGATGGGGCTGTGGTTAACAGACTGGGGTTAACACCAGTGAAACAGTGGCTGGCTGACCCCTGCACTGTAGCCTACCCCCACCCCCATCCCCCAGGGCTCTCGCATGCGCTTCCTGGACACCATGAGCATGCACATGGCCATCTCAGGGCTGAGCAGCTTCCAGCGCAGTCTGTGGGTGGCAGCCAAACAGGGCAAGCACAAGGCCCGGCACCCTACACAGCGAGGCCAGAAGTCCCAGCGCAAAGCCAATGGCCACGTGGTGAGAATACATTTCTGGTGGGCAAGCTGCTTGGGACCCCCTCACCAACCAGCCCACCTGTCTGGCTTGAGGCCAGGCTGACCTGCATGTCACTTTCTCTGGTCCTCCAGATCTCATCCTGGGACTGGATGGACATCAGCAGCATCAACAATCTGGCAGACGTGCATCACCTCTATGTGGGGGGACCTCCCTTAGAGAAGGAGCCTCGAGAATTGTTTGTCAAGGGCAGCATGCAGGACATCCGTGTGAACTTCCAGGTAAGGTATTGGTGAGAGGGTCCAGGGAATTGGGCTGTGGCAGACCTACAGTTGAACTTGGGGAGGTGTAGCTGCCAGGCCTGACCCTGAGACCTGGCAGTGTTAGTGGATGGCTGCCCACCCAGCGCCTTCCTGTCACCTTGTTCTAGGACCTGATGCAGTACTGTGCCCGGGACGTGTGGGCTACCTATGAGGTTTTTCAGCAGCAGCTGCCGCTCTTCTTGGAAAGGTGAGGGGAACCTGGGTAGAATCCCTGGGGTTGGTGGGTCCCAGGATCCAGGCCCACTGTCATCAAGTGGCACTGGTTCTTTCTCAGGCTGGGTACTTAGCCTTTCCAGATTCAAAGAGTGGAACCCCTCTTTGAATCTGGAAAGGCTATCTTAATCTGGTGGTATTCATGTGGGCCCTGGACTCTGTTTTTACAGAGGCCCAAGGGGTTATACTCATATCTCATGTGTATGGTTCCTATTTATTAAGCACCTGCTCTGCCCTCAGAGAAGCTATGGGCTTCACATCTGTCCTGCTTGTTTATTAATCAGTGAATCTTAGAAAGTGATCAGTTATAAGTGTCAGCAGATTTCATTCAAAGTTGACTGTGATATCTTCCGCATTAACCTTAAGCAAGTTACGTGGTTTCTCTGAGCCTCAGTGCCCTGAAGACACTGAAATACTTCACTCCCCATTTGTGAGGTACATATGTGATCATTGGTGGTACAGGGAGAGTTATTAAGACTAAAGTCACTCAAGTGGCAGCCATTCTTTCTTTTGTGATGTGTCATTCCCACATTACCCCTGAGAATGGGATATCATTCCCATGTTACAGGTGAAAAAACTGAGGTGCAGATAGAAATGACTGACGCAGGGCTAGGTACAGCAGAGCAGGAATTTAAGTTCCCATTTGACTTTAGAACTGTACCATGGGGTTGGTTGCGTCAAACTTGCCAAACTAGTTTAGGCATTGGGCCAAAGTCTTTCCTCCTGTGGTCATTTACAGCAGCCCTGGTATTTGTCTCCAAGGTGTCCCCACCCTGTGACTCTAGCTGGCATGTTGGAGATGGGTGTTTCCTACCTGCCTGTCAACCAGAACTGGGAGCGATACCTCGCAGAGGCACAGAACACCTATGAAGAGCTCCAGCGGGAGATGAAGAAGTCACTGATGGACCTGGCCAATGATGCCTGCCAGCTGCTCTCAGGAGATAGGTAGTCAGGCCTCTGGTGGGCAGGGGACAGGCAGGCATGAGGCCAGGCCTTTGGCTCAGCCTTAACCCTGCTCTGGTGGACTGGCTCTGTAGGTACAAAGAAGACCCCTGGCTCTGGGATTTAGAGTGGGATCTGCAAGAGTTCAAGCAGAAGAAGGCAAAGAAGGTGAAGGAGTCAGCCACAGCTAGCAAGTTGCCTGTCGAGGAGGCTGGGGATCCCATGGATCAGGAAGGTGGGGAACATGGTTGGGAGATGGGGAGGGTGGTCCCCAGGATGTTGTTAGGACTCAGGGAACCCTTGGAAGTATTACCCCAGCTTTCTGGAGATGACAGAAGTGGGTAGATCTTCCTGAGTCCCCCTGGTCTTGACTGTCCTCCCCAACTCTGCACAGACCCCGGCCCCCCCAGCGAGGAGGAGGAGGTTCAAAGAGATGTCATGGCCCATGCCTGCTTGCAACAGCTGAAGGGCACCACAGAGGTGCTATTGCCCAAGCGGCTCCAGCACCTTCCTGGACACCCTGGGTGAGCCCTGTTCCCTCTAATATATCCAGAGGTTGCCCTTATGCCATCCTTAGAACATCTCTTGTCTGGGCTCCAGTACGGAAGTGGCATACACTTTTGCTGCCATTAATTACTCCATCTTCCAGTCCTGCTTGCATGTGTTTACTTTGATGCCACCAGCTTCCTAGACTTTCACAGTTCAGTGTGCTGAGCACCTATTGTGTGCTGCCTGCAGCAGGAGCAGGTGGCAGGCCAACCAGCACAAGTGATGTGGAGATCTGTAGTGAGACAGTGAGCAGTGGTGTGGCAGTTCTGACTGCCTGCGGAAATCAAGGAAGGCTTCCTTGAGGTGACCTTTCAGAGTGGAAGAGATGAAAAAAAGGCAGCCAGGTGAATATTAGGGCACCAACTTTGTACTTTCATAACCTAAGAATGAGTCCTCTGGGCATCTTGCTAGCCTCTCCCTGGTAAATAACCAGTGCAAGAGATGGAGCTCAGAAGGATCTGGTGTGTCTTGAAGGCAGCAAGGGGGTCTGACAAGTGAGGAAGGCAGATCTGCACCTTCTGCTTAGAGGATGCAACAGGCTCGGGAGGGAGCCTAGCACCCTGGATGGGTGCTTGTTGATCTTGAGTCCTGATTAGTTCAGTGAGATTGACATAGGGTCTTTCCTTTGGAGATATGTGAATTATTCAAGGAGATTCCATAGGGCTAACCAAAGCATCTGAAAGGTAGAGATAGTGACTTGTAGGTCTGGGTTACTAGAAAGTCCTAGGACCTTGGAAGGTGGGTGAGGAAGTGGGGTGGGGGGACTTCCTTCCCTCCCCACATCTTCTGACACTGCTTTCCTTTCTGGTGGGGAATAGGTGGTACCGGAAGCTCTGTCCACGACTAGATGACCCTGAATGGACCCCAGGCCCCAGCCTTGTCAGCCTGCAGATGCGCGTCACACCTAAACTCATGGCATTGACCTGGGACGGCTTCCCTCTGCACTACTCAGAGCGACATGGTTGGGGCTACCTGGTGCCTGGGCGGCGGGACAACCTGGCTAAAGGGCCAATTGGCACCACCCTAGAGTCACCTGGGGTGGCCTGCCCCTATAGGTGAGGCTCACTCCTGGGCTCCAGGGAGGAAAGGGTTGGAGAAATGACATCTACTCAGGTTAGTGGGAAGAGCTGGGGTCCAGGAGTCTGGGATCTAGTTCTTTTCCATGACTTCCCTGCCCCTCTGGTAGGGGTATTGAAGTGTCCAAGTTGGAGGATAAAGGTCCTGTTCTTGGTCCCAGCAGTGTAGCTGCACTCACAGGAACATGAAAAGGGAGGACTCTTGGAAAGTACAGGGTAAAGGGGCTTGTTTTTTCTTTCTTTCCTGTATAATTTGAGTACTGATTATGTGCCATGCATTGCTAATAAACCTTTTGCAGTGCTTACCTCATTTGTGCCCTGAGTAGCCCCATGAGATAGGATGGTGTCCCTGTATAATTTATATTTTTGTGTGATGTTTGGGCATAAACCTAGAGCTTTGTGCTTCACACATGCTGGACAAGTGCTTCACCACTGAGCTATACCCAGCCTTGTATTCCCAATTTATAATCTAGTAAGTTAGTTAACCTTTTTGTGATCACAAACCCTGAGCTTTTGACAAGCAGGTGTTGGGAAGCCATGGCACTTAAAGAGGCCCAGAATTACTTAATTAGCCAGGACAGCCTGAGTCACTCTTGGTTTTGCTTTTGTATCAGAGTGGCTAAGATGAGCCTTGCTCCTTTGAGCCCGTCCATGAATGAGCAATAGGACCAGCCCAAAGTGGGGCTTTGAGTCTTGACTTCTCTGCTCTCAGCTGTTCAGGCAACTCTGGTATAAGAGGAGCTTGGATTTGAATCAGACCAGGCCTGAAACCTCAGCCTGACACCAGTGTGCTGTGTTTGTCATTTCAAGTCATTCTCAGTCTAAAAACCAGGAAGTGTTGTCCATTTCTGTCTCAGGACTGACTATAGGGAATTGTGGGAGGTCCCCAATGAGTCACCTGGCCAAAGTAGCATCCATTAATCAGGCTGCTGCTGTTCTCTGCCCAGAGCCATCGAGTCCCTATACAGGAAGCACTGTCTTGAACAGGGGAAGCAGCAGGTGGAGCCCCAGGAGGCAGGCCTGGCTGAGGAGTTCCTGCTTTCTGATAACAGTACCATGTGGCATACGGTAAGGGGGAAGGCTCTGCACCTAAGCCTCAGGGGTGGGACGAGGTGTCTTTAGTCATTGCTGGGAAAGCCTTTTGGGTGGGGGCTGGCACTAGTTGTTCACTGCATACCGGCCTGGGGTGTCTGAGTGCCCTGCGGGGTAGGGCTTATGGATCCAGGCCCATATAGCCCCCTGCCTCTCTGCCTTGGTCTTTGGGCCATCCAGGTAGAAGAACTAAGCTGCCTGGACATGGAGGCTGAGGCCAAGATGGAGAACCTGTGTGCTGCAGAACTGGGTCAACCCCTAGCTCTGGTGAGCTAGGCTCCTACTTAGGGGTTTTCTGGGTGGGTACTGGGTGGCAAGGGCTTCCTCTTGTCCACATAGCTCTTCCTCACCAGAGTTCCCTAGGTTTTGGGGGGTTTTGGAGAGACTGCCTGGTGCCCCTGTGGCCCTGTACATGTTGGGAGGCCAAGGAGGAAGCCTGAGACCTCATGGCCTTCCTGTCATTTCCCAGCTTACCTGCTCACAGTTTCAGGCCCTTGCTGAATGCAGGTTCTGGAACAGGGCCTGATCTAGGTGTGTGGCCCCCACAGACTACTGCTTGTGGGCCCAAGGCCAGCCAGCCCAGTTATCATCATGGCAATGGACCTTACAATGATGTGGATATCCCTGGATGCTGGTTTTTCAAGCTGCCTCATAAGGTGTGTGGCCTGCTTCATGCTTGTCCCATGGTGTCCTGTGCTTGCTCTGCAGTAGGCCTTCAGAGTGACTTAGACCAGTAAACTGTCCTTTTTGAGAGAATGTTAGTATTCATGGGATAGTGTGCACTTTGGGGCAAATGTTGCTCTCTCTCTGAGCTTTCATTTTTCTTCTAAAAATTGGATGGTGATGGGTTTTGATGGAATTAAAAATGACATGTGTCTCACACCACATCTGATGTTTTATTGATTGCTATTGTTGAGAGGAGCCAGGTTTGCTTGTTTCTGTATGTTAGTATCTGGCTTCGTGTGTGTGTGTTGGCAGGGGGAAACAGTTGAACCAGACAGATGCAGTCAGAATTACCATGGAGAGCTTGAGGTTCTGTTGGGAGGAGCCCAGGGGCTCTCTCTCTCTGAGGTCTACCCTCTGCCTCCAGCCCTTGCTTCTTTTCCTCTCTCTAGGATGGCAATAGCTGTAATGTGGGCAGCCCCTTTGCAAAGGACTTCCTGCCCAAGATGGAGGATGGCACCCTGCAGGCTGGCCCAGGAGGTGCCAGTGGTCCCCGTGCCCTGGAAATCAACAAAATGATTTCTTTTTGGAGAAATGCCCATAAACGTATCAGGTGGGACGCCATGGGCAGAGAGGCTCATCTGCAGTCCTAGGACTCCTTTTCCCCCTGTTCCTGTCCTGGGGTCCCTGACTTATCCTGCCTGGGCTGCCACAGAGGCCTGGCTACATGTCCTAGTACCATGTTCCTTGAGCAGGTCTTTTACCCTCTCCAGCTTGATTCCCTGTTTATGTAAAGAGAATCGTATTGTAGGACGTGTTGTTTATGTAAAGAGAATCATATTGTAGGACGTATTGTATGTATTGTATGATGGCCCTTCCCTGTTCTAACTGAACCACTTGGTTTAATTGCTGGTGAAGTGGGATGTGGCTGAGAATCCTGGAGGGTTAGCTGTTCGGACTGGCACATGAATTCATCTTGAAGGCCCCTTCCAAGGTGGTTGTGGCTACAAGCACACTTATGAGTAGAACGTGATGGGTCTATCATAGGTGTTGGGTGACATGTGATGGCAGGCTAGGTGTTGGGTGAGGCGTGATGGCAGGGGTGCCTCATGAATACCCTGGGAGAGGAATAAGAAGCTGCCTTGGATACTTGCCAGTTTTTAGATGGCTCATCCTCTTGGTTGATGTTTCGTAGGACCTTGTGTAGAGCCAGGGGCTACCCTGAGTCAAGTTAGTAGGAAAAGGGTTGAGACAAGGCAAAAGAAGAGTTTTCAGCAGCCCAGAAGATAAGTGGGTATGGGCCATGGTGGGATGGTGGATTTGGCTTCCTAGGGCTGTGCCTCAGCCTGTCTGTCTTCACAGCTCCCAGATGGTGGTGTGGCTTCCTAGGTCAGCTCTGCCCCGTGCTGTGACCAGGTACATATGGCCTGCTACATGGTTGTGGAAAGAGAACTCAGTGGGACATAGCCTAGGGCCAAAGCAAGCTGCTGATATTCATTGCCGCTCTCTCCCATCCCAGGCACCCTGACTATGATGAGGAAGGCTGCTATGGGGCCATCCTGCCCCAGGTAGTGACTGCTGGCACCATCACCCGCAGGGCCGTGGAGCCTACATGGCTCACTGCTAGCAATGCCCGGGTATGTGTCCTCTGCATCTTTGGCCTCTGTTCTTCCACTCTTAGGTCTCTAGAAATGAGGAGCTCAAAGGGCCTTTGGGGTTTAGCAGGGGGCATGAAAAGGAATCTATTCTGAGCCAGGCAGGCTATAATTCACATCTGGCTTCGTGACTCTTGTCCGTTCCCTTAGCAACATGTTCTGGGTGCCTGCTCGTGGCCACAATACCAGGCATACTAGCCGCAACTGTTTAGATTAGGCCGTGTAGGTCAGAGGCCAGACATGGAGTAGGGGTTCTCTATCTGCCCCATTGCTGAGCAGTAGCCCTCCCTAGAACTGTGGAATTTTGAGTACTGCTGTCATTATCTAAAGACATTCCCTCTAGAAAGGCCCAGCATATTCCCAGTTAACTTTGGCTCCAAGAATAGGAATAGGAGTATTACCTGGTATCTAGGTGAGCCTGACCTTACTCTTTCTGCAGCCTGACCGAGTAGGCAGTGAGTTGAAAGCCATGGTGCAGGCTCCACCTGGCTATGTCCTTGTGGGTGCTGATGTGGATTCACAGGAGCTGTGGATTGCAGCTGTTCTCGGAGATGCCCACTTCGCTGGCATGCATGGTGAGTCTTGCAGGGGCAAGACAGCCCAAACCCTCAGCTAGGCCAACTGTTTCTGAGCTTCCTTTTTCACTCCTGCTTTGTCCTTTAGGCTGCACTGCTTTTGGGTGGATGACACTGCAGGGCAGGAAGAGCAGGGGCACTGATCTACACAGTAAGACAGCTACCACAGTAGGCATCAGCCGTGAGCATGCCAAAGTCTTCAACTATGGCCGCATCTATGGGGCTGGACAACCATTTGCTGAACGCCTACTGATGCAGTTCAACCACCGGCTTACGAGGCAGGAGGCAGCTGAGAAAGCCCAGCAGATGTATGCTGTCACCAAGGGCCTCCGACGGTGAGGGTCCTTCTACCCACCTTACTGCCCAGTCTCAGGCCTGCTTTATTGCTGCCGTCTTTGTTCGTCACCTGAGTTATCTCCCTTCAAAGCTTTGTGACCTAGCTACAGAGTGACTTGTCTTTGGAATTGTATGCTTGTTAAGTTTTTTCTGAGAGAGGTAAAGCTGTACTGAGGTTGTCACTGAGTGGTAGCACTTCCACAGCTCTGGTTACACAGCATAAACAGCATAGGAGTCTTAAACTCAAGTGCCTGAGGAATAAGTGCATGAGACAAGAGTTGCCAGGAGAGCACTGTGGGTAACTGCAGAGTGTCAACTGATTCTGACATAGAAGCTTGACCAGGCTTCCAGTTTACTTCTTACCTGTTTCACATACTTATACTGCACTTAGAGCCCTCACAGGCTTCTTGAGGAGGAGAGGTACAGGAACATTTACAGCTTTGTTCAGTATAGTGAATACGTGTCCACATTTAATTAGCTCACTCAGTGTGGAAACGCTTCCTCGTGAAAGAACAAAAGTTGACGAAGTGGCAAATGGGGTAGCAGTGACACATCAGTGCAGGGAAGGGGAGCCTAGTATTGTTGTAGGTAAATGGGGGTGCCTCATAGTTGCATGAGCTGGCTAAGGTCATACCGCAGTGTGCGCCTGGGGAAATGCAAAGGGCAGAGAAAAGGTTTAGGCTTAATTGTGGAGATTCTGAAGGCATCACAGATAAGTTGAACCATAGGATCAGATGGTGACAACATTCAGGGGACAAGCCTAGTGGTGTGCATGATGGACTGAAGTCTGGGGGTTAAGGAGGATAAGTAGGACCTCCCTATTCTCTGCTTCTCCAAATGCCTTGTACTCTTGAAGGAGTAATGTTTTTACCCCTGGCTAAATTGCTTAGCCAGGGCAATTTAGCAAGACCCTGTCACTCCCTTGAAATCTGGAGTGATGGCCATTGCTGTCTCCCAGACACACACAATATCACTGATCATTGGACAGTTCACCATCTCAGGTGTTACAACAGTAAAAATAGTAATAGCTCTTGCATTACAGTCTGTCCTTTATTGGGTACCGTGGTGTAGCCCAGGCTTTGGGGCTACAAATGCCCAAATTCCTGTCTGGGCGGCTCCTCTTCCTTGCTGCATGACCCCAGTAAGTCACTTATTTGAGCTTTTGTTTCCTTCTCTGAAATAAAGCCCTGTGGGGGAGGGTTATGGCACCAAGGTGCTCTTATAGGAATCATGGTGGTACACTACCTTCAGGTATCGGCTTTCTGATGAGGGCGAGTGGCTGGTGAGACAGTTGAACCTCCCTGTGGAAAGGACTGAGGATGGATGGATTTCCCTGCAGGACCTGCGCAAGATCCAGAGAGCAGCTTCAAGGAAGTGAGAATTCTGTTTAGGATGGAGGGATGGGTGTGAGGTGGCTCCACAAGAGCTGAGTGCTTTGATTTTTTTTAGCTCTGAAATGTTGAAAGACAAAGCCTATTCTGTTTCTGCTCCTGCTTTCCCCAGGTCATGCTGGAAGAAATGGGAGGTAGTTGCTGAGCGAGCATGGATAGGGGGTACAGAATCAGAAATGTTCAACAAGTTGGAGAGTATAGCCACATCAGACACACCACAGACCCCAGTGCTGGGTTGCCGCATCAGCCGAGCCCTGGAGCCCTCGGCTGTCCAGGGGGAGGTAACTTGCCAACCTTTGAAGCAGGGAGTGGGCACCAGCAGTTTGACAAATGGGGCCAGAGTGGAGCTCCTGCCTGTGCTCTTAGATTCCCCACCCCAGAACACACACCCATGCCCACCTATCCTTCCCTAGTTTATGACCAGCCGTGTAAACTGGGTGGTGCAGAGCTCTGCTGTGGACTACTTACACCTCATGCTTGTGGCCATGAAGTGGCTATTTGAAGAGTTTGCCATTGATGGACGCTTTTGCATCAGTATCCATGATGAGGTTCGCTACCTGGTACGGGAAGAGGATCGCTACCGTGCTGCCCTGGCCCTGCAGATCACCAACCTCCTAACCAGGTATGTGGGGCCCATGGCCCCTCTGGCTCAGCCATGTGTTCCTTTCTTGGGTCCAGCTAAAAAGCAGTTTTAAATTTCATCAGCCCAGAAATGAACGTCTTTTAGCTTTTATCTCTAATTTTTAAAATATATTAAAGTCCTAAAAAAAAATTGGCCTCAACTTTTTAAAACAATTTGTTGGATTTCAAAGTGTCATATACCAAGGCTAGGTCACTGAACTGATGCTGAGGTCAGAGGAGTTGTTCCAAAGAGTAGTTCTCAAACTTTTCCCCTAGGAATAATACATTTTCCTCAATTCCTAGAAAAGTGAAATGTTTTCCTTTCACCCATAAGTTGGGTGTGGTTGTACATACCTGTAATGCCAGCAACTCAAGAGGCTGGGACAGGAGGATCAAAGTCTGAGGCCATCCAGGGCAATTTAGCAAGATCCTGTCTCAAAAATGGAAAGGACTGGGGAGTGTAGCCCCCTGGGTTCAATCCCCAGTACTGAACAGAACAAAACTTTTGCCCCATAAATGCTTTCTTAAGTGCTACAAGTTTGTTAGTAGTCAGAATAACAGAAAACACTGCTAATGGGGAAACTCGAATGTGAGTGAAGAAAACACTTTATTAGTATTAGCTGAATTGTATTTTCTTGTAGTAAAATTCCTAGTTCATATGGGTGAGTAAAATGGTATTACCATTCATTCCATGTTGCTCTGCCACCTAGAACCAGTTTGAAAACCACGATCTGTCCTGATTAATGGGTAAATAACAAATGTTCACAATGCTAACATTGTCACCATTGCCCTCTTAATTATCCCCTATGGGGTTTACTTAATAAAGTCTTCATTTACTGCTCAAACTCTGGCCCAATAATTGGAAATAATTTTATATCAATAAAGTGTAACAAACCGGAAAATGTGTGTTGTCCATAATTGCATCTCAGTCTCTCAGCAGGAGGTGTAGGCTGTTTGGAGCAGTGCTGCCCTCCAGCTCCCTGGTTGGGACTGGGGAATTGGTGCAGGGGAAGCTCTACTATAAGGGGTATGTGATGGTTTCTCCTGGTTTCACAGCAGGGGCATGACTGAGAGGGGAGATTGGGTTTCTTTCAGGTGCATGTTTGCCTACAAGCTGGGTCTGAATGATTTGCCCCAGTCAGTCGCCTTTTTCAGTGCAGTCGATATTGACCAGTGCCTCAGGAAAGAAGTGACCATGGATTGTAAAACCCCTTCCAACCCAACTGGGATGGAAAGGAGATACGGGATTCCCCAGGGTGAGCACAACACATTTGTTCCTCATATACATACAATAGTGTGAGGTGGGCCAGAAAGTACAAAGTGGTCTTTGGTCAGAAAACAGGCAACTTGAGGCCCCAGTGAAGAAATCTACGCATGTAATATTCCAGGATATTTCAGTTTATAAGGTGCCCTAGATCCAAAGTGAATGTGATGTTCAAATCAGAGGTCTGTTTCTAGAAAGCAGTTCATTTATACCTGTCCCTTCTTCAACCAGACGATAAAGTTTTAATGGATTTATTGTATAAAGTCAAAAGTGCCTTTTTTAGGTGGGAAAAAAAAAATCTGTGCTACAAACACCAAACAAATCAAAGTTTATTTTCTATTTGACCTTAAGTTAAGTCCTTTTCTGATTTCTGGGCTCTCAGTTATAAGTTTCAAGGCATCCTAACCAGTTTGCACTGTCTTTCAGGTGAAGCGCTGGATATTTACCAGATAATTGAACTCACCAAAGGCTCCTTGGAAAAACGAAGCCAGCCTGGACCATAGCTCTGCCTGGAGGCACTGTATTTGCTCCTGTGGAGCTTCATCGGGGCAGTGCAGGCTCCCAAACTCAGGCTTTCAGCTGTGCTTTTTGCAAAAGGGCTTGCCTAAAGCCAGCCATTTTTCAGTAGCAGGACCTATCAAGAAGACTCCTTCTAACTGAAGGTGCAATTGATGCCAACATGGGTGTGGGCTGTAGGACAAGGGGCACTGTTGTGTTGGACAAAAAGAAAGCAGACGCCCCAAAGTTCACACTAACTCAGGCACTTCATTTTTTTCTTTTCTTGGCTGGTTCTTCATTCTGTCCCCTGTGCTCTGATGCAGTGCCCTAGAGGGGAGAGAGAATGCTCTATCGTGAGAGACCTGCTCTAAGGCAGTGGAAATAAACACAAAAACCCTGTACCTTCTTGCATCAAAGCCTGTTATCAGTCATGTTGCCCCACGGCCACCTTTTTCTACTCATGGGAGATAACTATGCTGAAAAAAGGGAGGGAGGCATTCCAAAGTAGACATCTTAGGACATCTGTTACACTGGGGAATCAAGGGACAAGATGTTAGCCTCAAGAATAAAAATGCTACAGGACCTTCCAGCTTGAATGCCAAGAAGGTTAAAGGGAGTGTGGGTGGGGCCAGGGACATTATGGCCCTCAAGTGTGATAATCTGAAATACAGGTTCAAAATTTTTGAGAATCCAGAAAACCAGATGCATTTGTTACTCCTAAGGATACACTGGGCCCTGTTTCAAAGATGCTAAAGGGATAGGAGTATGGTACTGTTAACTGGTAAAACTAAAGAGAGGAACAAGCAGGCATGCAAACAGAAGGAAGCACCACCCAATCTAAACAGTAGCCCTACTCTGAAGGCATGTGTAACAGGAAGCTAGCTGGTTGTGGTCCACAAAAAGACTGTCACCATCCTCTTCCTAGAAATATCTACCAAAAAGGTTATAAAGTGTGAATTGGATGTTGTGGTGGTGCACTCCGGTAATCCAGTGACTGGTGCAACTAAAGCAGAAGAATCACAAGTTTCAGGCCGGCAGGGGCAATTTAGCCAAGATCCTCCCTTAACAAAAAGGCTAGAATGTAGCTCACTGGAAAAGCTCCCCTGGGTTCAGTCCTCAGTATTGAAAGAAAAAAAAGTTATGCAATCTAGACAACTTAACAGGATTTTGTTGGTTCTAGCCCCTCTCTTGAGATTCCTTAGTTTTCATCTTTGCCTGACCACTTCTTAGCCCTTTCTCAATCTGCTGGTTGCTTTTCTCCCACTTATATGCGGTTGCTCACAGATAGGCTACTGCCAGTCAGTAAGTTGGGTAGGGCTTGCTGTGCTCTAGACAGAAGTGGCTACTGACCTCTTCACTTTCGTCCTCCCTGTCCTCTCCAAGAACCATGTCCAGGATGTTTCCTTTGATCTTGAAGTCTCGTGAGGTGCTGAGCTTCATGTGCTGCATAAGGTTCACCTGTGACAGGATTATAAACATGAGGCTATTTTTTTACTCAAAGGTCCTGCTGAGGATAGATAGCTTAAACTATATTTAGTGTACCTGACAACCCCTTCAGTTCCTACAGTATAGTATTTCACTGCATAGTTGTCACCACTGCATTCATGTATATTTACGAGTATTCTCTCTTCCTACTCTTAATACCAAAGCAAAAAAATAAATAAAATAAAGGTATTGAGTCCATCTGCAACTAAGGGGAAAAAAATTTAAAAACCAGTGGGGGTAGAGCGGGTTTGAGATTATAGCTCAGTAGTAGAACATCCCTGGGTTCAACCCCCAATACCACCACCAAAAAAAGTTTTAAGTAATGCTCACACCCCACTGTTTTACAAAAAAAAAAAAAAAATACAATCTGATGATTATGCAGTGAAAAACAGTAAGCACATACCCTTTTGACCACTTTCTCATCAGTTTCCTACACAATGTTTCCATTCAGGCCATCAGAGCAAAGAAACAGGAATAAATAGTTCAAAATTTTTCTCCATTGCAGTTGTGCTGCTTAAGTTTGCCAGATCCTCTCAACAGAACAAATGTAAATGGTAATAAACAATATGCATGTTTACCTTAGACTTTTTAGAAAGGTGGATCAGGAATTTTTCATACTGTTCAATGGCAAAGATGAGGTTAGGGATTGGCTTGGTTTCCCGAAGGACTCTGGCCTAAGGATAAAGAACACAAGATGAAAATTTCAAGTTCAATGGTTTTTGAAATTTTCCTCTAACTGCCATGGCTTTGAAGAAAAACTAGTCAATCATCCAATAAAATGCTATTTATACTTATATATATACCAATATTCTAAGACTTGTAGCAGTTTAATCTGAGAAGATCTAAATGCCCAGATTGCACTGAATCTTTCCAATTATAATTCCTAAATATTTGTTACTGAAAGATTGGCAGGACCATTTGCAGAAACAAGTCTACTTCATATTCCTGAAACAATGAGTAGCACTAGCTCTAGTTCCTTTTTCTAGTCTGTAAATGAATTTTCACTGCTGGAATTATGTATCTGTTCCTTCAATCTGAATTATAATGTGAAGATCCTTTCAAATGTTAAGGTATATGTGTTCATGCACATTTTTCAAATCCACAAATACAGACACTATACATTCTTTTTTTAAAAAAACTTATTTAATCTATTTAGCTAGTCCCTATTAATGGATATCTTTAATATTGTTGTCTTTCAAAAAAAAGGGGCTAGGACCATCCTGTACCTATGTCTTTACATTTCTGTGTTAAGTGGAATTGTTATACCAGTGTGTGTGGATCACAAAAATTAAGTAGTTACATCCCCTTCAGAGCTTGTACTCATTTTTGCCTTGGCTGGTAATGTACTGGATACTCATTTTCCTGCACCCTAATTCTCTGATTTCTTAGGAAGCACCTTTTATGCTCACCAGCTTTTCCTGAAAACAATTTTTATGATCAACAGAGAATGATCAGCACTATACTCCAAGAACCAGTGTCAGCAGCTTACCATGGCAGTGGCAACAGCAGTTTTCTCCTTTTTCTTCTCTCCCGTATATTTCAGGTTGTTACCCTTCTTATTCTAAAGAAATAAACACAATTCTCTCATTCCTAAAGATTTTTCTGTAGAACTAGAAGATTAGTGGTAATTTTCCTAAAAGGTAATTCCAACAGACAGTCAAGAGTAAATTTGGGTGAACAGGATTATCTGTGTAATAAATGCTGGAAGATGGGGAAATTTTGTGATGCTTTATAATCTTAAGATGGCTCTTTTAATTGTTGGGAGGTATAGTGTCTGACTGTTCTTGGAGCTGGCACATGGAAAGTGAAGGCAGGACAACCATTACTGTACTGGGCCAGCCAAGGGACTTGTGAAGGTACAAAAGGATGGTTAAAACGGGAAGTGTCAAGGTGGCAGCAGGAATAGGCATTTTCCTGTTGAGTAGCTGTATAAGAGAAAGGAAATTAAGGGAGCTATCCAGGGGCCAGTAATATTCCCACTTAGAGGTCATCACTACATGTCTAACATGCACTGCAGTCAAACTAGATGGGGTCAATTTTCAGATCTGCCTCTTACTAGCTGTCTGTTCTTGGACATTTCAAATAACCTTTAATATAGGGATAACTACTGATCACAAAACAGCAGGAAGAATGAAGTGACACATGAAGAGAGCTTAACATGACAGGCATTAAGAAAGGCAAATGTAATCTATTCTAATAAAATGAACAAAGTGACTTTTAAATTATAACAAGGGTGGTATATGTAATCTAATAGCAGTGTCTCACTGGCTGTCATCTGGAACACTATTTTTCCAAATGATAATGTTTATTACTAAAAAAATGTTCTTAAATAGGTTTGAAAAGTACTACTGAACATACCCTCAGGACCTCTCTGGACCTTTAATATGCTAATGCACGCTACAAATTAAGACAAATATGGTGGCTGGGGATGTGGCTCAAGCGGTAGCACACTCGCCTGGCATGTGTGCTGCCTGGGTTCGATCCTCAGCACCACAAACAAAGATGTTGTGTCCGCCGAAAACTAAATAATAAATATTAAAATTCTCTCTTAAAAAAGAAAAAAAAAAAAAAAGGTAAATATGGTAGGAATATTCCTCACAGAATCTTTTTTTTTTTTTTTTAAATTTCACCTCAGTCTCTACAGGATACTTCCAGAAATGTGGCTTTGTAGGCATCTTTAAGACCTGGCAATGGGGGGCTGGGGATGTGGCTCAAGTGATAGCGCGCTCGCCTGGCATGCGTGCGGCCCGGGTTTGATCCTCAGCACCACATACAAACAAAGATGTTGTGTCCGCTGAAAACTAAAAAATAAATATTAAAAAAAAAAAATTCATTCTCTCAAGAAAAAAAAGACCTGGCAATGGGGGAATTAAAAACCCCAATTTAAGAAAGGAGGGATACATTCTTTTTAGAGACAACAGATTTGTTTGACAGAATGGCACGCACATAAAAATTTATGAGCATGAAGTTTGAGAAAGTATGTCTGCAAGCATTTGGGTGAGATAAAAAAGACTAAGTACAGCTTGATGAGAATAAGCTATAGACTGGCCAAAGAGATGTTCCATTCCAGAGAACCTCAACATATGCACATTCCTGGGAATTCTTTCAGATAAACTTTCATGACAGACCACTTGGTCACTAACTGTCAAAGGCAAGGAGAAGGTAAACTTAGTATACATAATGAGGCAGAGTACCCACACAAGGGTGTTATGCCTATGATGTAGGGACAGTATCAAGTGAAGCATCACTACCTAATGTGCAATCTGGGGTTGGGGACAGCACTTGTGTCCAAGTTGGGGACAGCTCAGTGGTAAAGCACTTGCCTAGCATGCATAACACCCAGAATTAAATTCCCAGCGCCATGCTCCCCCCCCAAGTCATAATCCATTGCTTTAATAAAGGGTTCTAGAATCTTAAGATTTAACTTGGTGGGTCCATTCTGGTTCTTTAAAGATCAATAACAGTCCTACAATATATTTACTACAGAGACTAAGTGGCCTTAGGAAGCCTCCTATCACTTGCATTTAAACCAGTGGTTCTCAAACAGGCAATTTTGCCCCTTAGGGGCATTCGGCAATTTCT